TAACCACATACTGACTAGCAGTATAATCACAGATTGACAATAATATAATCATAGACTGTCAAGTTATACAAGCACAGGTTGAATAGTAGAATAATCACAGTTTGACCAGTTGTATAACCACAGATTGTCCAGTAATATTACCACAGATGTCACTTAATATTAGCACCGATTTTACCCTAATATAAACCCCAGATTTTCACTTAAAGAAACCACGGATTGTTACAGTATATTCAAAGATACTCACTTAATATAACCACAGATTGTCACTTAATATAACCAAAGATTGTCACTTAATATAACTACGGTTTGTCGCTTAATACAACCACGAATTGTCACTTAATATAACTAAATATTGTCACATAAAATAACCACAAATTGTGCCTTAGTATAGCCAAAGATTGTCACTTAATATAACCACAGTTTGTCACAATAAATCTACGTATTGTCACTTAATATAACCACAGTTTGTCACAATAAATCTACGTATTGTCACTTAATATAACCACATTTTAACAGCTAATAAAATCACAGGATGATAGTTTGTAGATGGTCTTATTTATTTCTGTTTTGTTATTGATTTCAGGAAACAGAAAAGAAACGTGAGGCATTCATGCAACTGCTGTGTAGATGGTCTTATTTATTTCTGTTTTGTTATTGATTTCAGGAAACAGAAAAGAAACGTGAGGCATTCATGCAACTGCTGGCCCAGAGGTACCCCCAATATGCAGATAAGATTCAGGGCACAGAATCGTCGTCGTCGCCCGTGCCCCAGGCGCTTCCACAAGACAAGGTAAGGTCATAGAATGTCAGCTCATGTCAGCTGTCTGTGGATTGTTTGTGTGAGGTGACATTTAGATGGGTGTAATTAACATTTGCCACATTGGAGGGGGATGACATACTACTGTATGAGCGGGCGTGTGGGTGAGTATGTTTTTTTTTCTTGTTTTCTAACAGGTGACCTTCAATTTAGATCTAAAGGGGTATATTTTCTTCTACAACCTCCAGTATTTTTTCCATTCGTATGAATCATCATTTGCCGGGGTTCATATGTTTTCCTGTGTTTGGTTTGCTGTGTATGTTCAGAGTCTTTTTTTCTTCTTCATTCACCGGCTGTGAATTCAGGCGGAAGGTCCCGGTAGTTAGTCTATTAGGACTGTTAGCTTTTACCTGCACCTGAGTTTTGCGTGCACGACCGTTTTTCTGCCTTTTGCCTTTCCCTGCCTCACAGGCAGATGAACTCGAACTTCGAGGGAAAAGGCACTAGAAAAAAGCTGTCGCGTTGTGTGTCCTACCATCCCCAGCGTTTCTGTCACTACTGTCCGTTTTACCACAGATTTTGGGGCGATGTAGGCAGAGGGTCAGTAGCCTGAGTTTTAAGACCGCTTGGCTAGTTCTGTCGCCACGAACTGAGCAGGTTAGGATGATTAATTTAACCCCCCGACAGAAAAACTACATTATTTTACCAGGGGGTGGAACTCGGGTCTCCCGCATGACAGCCTGTCGTTGTAACCGCTCGGCCAGCCGCGGCAGTGTCTGCTTAAATCCATACAGGAGGCTCTGTAATACCATGTTAATATTGTTATTCCGCATTAATAAATGTGTGTACTTTAAATAGTGATTGTTTCGTGGTTTTTCGTCTTTTTGTAAGTATCTGTGTTTTTTTGTTTTTTTTTAATGCTTTGACTACAAATGTTTGAAATAAATGCTCACATGAATAGTAATCGTTTATATGGGTGAATTGTTCTATACCAGGGTATACCACAAAGCGGTGGTCGCATTCTCCCAGTCTCCATTCTCTCTCTCTCTCTCTCTCTCTCTCTCTCTCTCTCTCTCTCTCTCTCTCTCTCTCTCTCTCTCTCTCTCTCTCTCTTTTTCTGTAAGTAGTATGTAAGTGAGTCAGGGAGTGAGTGAGTTAGTGGGTGGGTGGATAGATGAGTCAGTCAGTAAATGTGTGAGTGAATGAGTGAGTTAGTTCATTAGCTACTTATTTGGTTAGTGTAGTGAATCTCATTTTCTCCTAGTTAATTTATGCCCGACAGATGACGTCAGTAATAAATGTGAGTGGAATATTTTGACTCTAACTGGGACGGCACGGGCATTGTTGAGTCTGAACTTGACGGGAGTTATAGAAAAATGCTGATAGTCAAACTTTGTGTGAAGCATAATTATTCACGTGAATAGAAATGTTGACTGTCGAACTTCATGCGAAGTACGAGGAATCACGTGCCACGCACCGTGTCCAGCCAAATGGACTTCGTGAAACTGAAGAGACACGGAGTATTCAGGAAAAACGAAGCAGGGATTAGAAGGCTATATAATAGCGTAGAAAGGGCTGAGAGTCAGTCTCGTTTGGGCCCAGGAACAGAGTGCATGGACAACGATGGAAGATGTGTGGATTCAACATGTGTTGAGTGAATTTGTTCCAGTCCAACTTGGCAAAAAAGCTGGCGGGCAAGATGTCCGCGGGCCGAGTTAGTTTTTCTGTCAGGACAGCTGTTGTGTTGTCGTTCATATGATAGTGTAGGATGATTGTGATTTCGAACAGAAGGTAACAGTTGATATTTTGATATTTGAGGTATAATGTGTGTGATGACCCTGCTTTGCATGGTCTCCACGTGTACATTGTGGCAAGCAGGAAGTCCGTGCTACAAGTGGCGGCACGAGATACTTGTGGCCGGTGGAGTAAGCGAGGGGAAGCCCGAGCTAGTCTCGTGGTCAGTTGATCAACAGAAGTCAGAGAAGACGGTTGTAGTATTTGAAGATGTCGTCTTTATGTTACGCGAATGGTTAGTGTTCGAATATGTCGCGAGTGATAGAATTGAGAATAATTGTTTAGGCATGTTGAATACATGGACCAGAATAAACTGATAGCATGTACCAAGAAGCTGAGCTGCGTTTGTGTTGTCAACCCTAGACGTTGAAGCCGGTGCAAACCAAGGTTCATTCCAAGTCAAGTCAAGGTTCATTCCAAGTTGAACCAGAATCATTTCATTGCCTGGACAGTAGTCTATTTCATGTGCCGGCTGTGTAAGCCGCGAGTAGAAGATTAAAGTGTTGGAACAGTATCGTGTTGATTTTCCAGTCGTCCATTTTCTGCTCGTCGTGTGATGTCGGTATGTGAGATAGCCAGCATGCGATAATGCGAGCCAGATAGAAGAAGATAAAAGGAGAGCCATCGCAGTTAGTTATTTAGTAAGTGTGCGGTTGTGTGAGTAAGTAATTCATTCATTGAGTCAGTCACTCAGTGAGTGAGTGAGTTAGTGAGTAAGTGATTGATTAAGTGAATATGTGTGTATGCGTATGTATGTGAGTGCATGAGTGAGTGAATGTGCGATTGAGTGAATGAATGGATAAAAGTGTATTTGAGTGTGTTGAGAAATTCTCCACCGTTCGGATATGAACCCACAACCTCCGAATCCGCAAATCCGCGTTTAGCAGCTATAACACAGCGGCTACCATAGATCGACTGAAGTTATACCTGAAGAGATCATTAATAGCGCACGAAGAGACTACCATTGGAAGGTATTAGAACCGCTCATTCCTATCATTTTTTTTTTTTTTTAGTAAACAAAACAGGCGCAGACATGGATTGTGCTTCACGGGCAAGACATGGTCTTCAATAGCATTGCTATGGAGTTTCATTTTAACTAGTAATTTGTGTCAGTGATCTTTAGTACATTTAAGTATATCATTTATATAACAGGTGGGAATCAGGATTTGGGCAAACCCTGAATCCTCTCCTTTAACCAGCAAGGCTGGGAGACATATAATCTCTTAGGATGTTCAATGTGTGTGATTCCCTCTGTAGATTACACATAGTGCATCTGCTAGATTAAAGCGAATTTACCCGCCACACCCGCTCGTACAGTATTATTTCATTCCCCTACAGTATGGCTAATGTTAATTACACCCATGTAAATGTCACCTCACACAAACAATCCACAGACAGCTGACATATGGACTGGGATACCTCTCCCCCTGCACCACCTTTCTATGCTCTCACCCCCCTATGGTGCTCGCAATGAAACTTGGATAGACAGAAAGGTGGCATCAGTATTGGCTAGCCTACCTTTTTCTTCTATTCTTCCACCTTGTACCTCATCGAAGTGTCGGGGGAATTGGGCTACCACAGTAGAGAATATTTACCTGGGATGACATAATAGATTTGCAGTGGTAGTAAAAGGACAGATACCGTTGGATGACATCTGGATGACATCATACTTGAATATAGTTCAAAGACATTATGTGATATAGGATGTGACTCCACATTCAGCATGTGAATAATCCGCATGATTGTCAGAGAACATCTAGTGATCTAAAGTATGGTCCTGGAGATAGAGGCTGTCACGTTGACACCACAGTGTCACTTACAAAAGCGATGCCCGGCTCTCTAGCGTAGTTGGCTAAACCGGATTGCGCGGTGAGCGGGTGACGAACTCCTTCCTGGTCTGGGTTCATTCCCGGGGGTGGGCAGAAAAGCCACATTTTCTCCCATATTTAAGGTATTTACAATGGAATCAAGGCCGAAAGGTTGCGATATCCATAATACCGAGCCTAAGGGTTAGCAACTCATGGCTTCTGGATACTAAAACAAAAAACAAACAAACAAAAGGGATTATTGTCTCTAACTCTCAAGTTACACTTCGTAAAACCCAGGATAAACTAAGGTGTCTCGAGTGGCTGCCATTTGCGAGGCCTCATAAAGTATAGAATTGTCTGTGGATCAATTGCCCAGGTCTCGCACAGACACTCGGAAACAAGAAAGCAGCCAGCCACAATTGCTTCCAACGCATATCTCATTGGAGACGGACAGATGAGAACTGCGCTGAGCATTACATGAAAGCTTGGAGCATGAGGGCACATGCTGGAAATCCCTGTTTAGAGCTCCTGGGGTGACCATAGAGCAGTAACAGATCACGGTGAACGTAGTTTTTTTTTTTTTTTTTTTAAATCTTTGATTGAATTTATTGTCTAGAGCAAGTTTACATCCAGAAACAAAACTAATATCCCAGCTGCTGAAGTGTCTGCTGGTAAGGTTCAATCTTCTTGGCCACATTCTTCTTGGCTTGTTCACGCAGTTTCAGCAGATGCTTCTTGCGCTCATAGAACTGCTTGGATTTGACCTTTCTCTTGGCCTCAAGTGTGGCCACTACCCTCTGGTACTTCCAGCCCACTTCATGAGACAAACGATCCAGACTGCAGAACTTCCTTGCAGGATTCAGTCTGAGAACTTTGAGAGCTGATGGAACTACCATTCTCTTCTTCTTGTCGTATGGTGGTGGGATACCTTCAAACACCTTCAGACGCTCAAGGGCTTCCTTTCCACGGGCAGTTTTGTGAGGCAACATTCCTCTGATAACCCTCCAGAACTGCTTGCTTGGGGCACGGGAATGGAAAGGACCACGAGCTGGGTTCACATTACAACGCTTCTTCAAGTACTTCAGAAACTTCAACTTGTTTCTGTAGAAGTTTACAGAAATGTTGATTCCCTCACATCGGACAATGACAACTCTCTGACCTTGCAACAGTGTCTTGGCAACGACTGCAGCAAGTCGACCCAATAGGTTGTCCCAAAGCGGGAAGCTGAAAGCAGTATTATTTGTTGTTAATAATTTCCCCCAGGCAGGCTCTGGGTGTCTATTATCTGGTGGACAACATTTGAATAGCTGTGGTTTATACGAGTAATTAAATATAAATATGTGGAATAGAAAATAATCGGTAGACTATATAGACCAACATACCCATAAATTATATTATTTCAAGGCTAAATTTCAAGGACACGCTTAGTGAACGAGGTAAAGCAATAAAATATAGTTTCTGTTGCCATCCACGCCTGCCAATAATCTGGCAGCTACACATATTGTCGGCGTCACAGTCAGCACTATGGAGGCTGACCTGTAGACATGAATTACTTTTGAGAAACTTTATATATATCAGGTTACTTTTTAATGCTTTATACAATAGCCAGCTGTGTCCGTCTCCTCCATTAAATACTCTCAGCTCATGTTGTTTCCCTATACTGAGATCCATAGGGATCGTTCCTGGAGTTACGGAGTTCGTGCTTTGAGAAACGCTTTTGACAGGTGGCCATCCGTTCCGCTGGGAGAGACCGAGTCATACGGGATAAAACCGGTACAGGAACACTGATCTTGTCGACGTCATTTCTCTGGGAAATATAGTTATCCACTGGAAAAAGGGAAGTAATCGTGAAATTAGGACACAACATTGCAGATGGGGGGGGGGAGAGAACAACTCGTTTTTTATTTACTGGCCTGGATTTCCAATTATGAAACTTGATAGCGAAAGAACCGGTTCTTCTTTTTCTTCTTCTTTTTCTTCTTCTTCTTCTTCTTCTTCTTCTTCTTCTTCTTCTTCTTCTTCTTCTTCTTCTTCTTCTTCTTCTTCTTCTTCTTCTTCTTCTTCTTCTTCTTCTTCTTTCTTTCTTCTTCTTCTTTCTCTTCTTTTCTGTCTTCTTCTTCTTCTTCTGCTTCTTCTTCTGCCTGCTTCTGCTGTCTTTTCTGTCGTCTGACCTGCCTGCCTGCCTGTTCTGTCTGTCTGTCTGTCTGTCTGTCTGTCTGTCTTCCTTCTGTCTGTCTTCCTTCTTTCTTCTTCTGTCTGGTTCTTTCTGTCTGTCTGTCTGTCTGTTCTGTCTGTCTGTCTGTCTTCCTGTCTGTCTGTCTGTCTGTCTGTCTTGTTCTGTCTGTCTCTTTCTTTCTTTCCTTCTTTCCGTCTGTCTGTCTGCCTGTCTGCCTGCCTGTCAGTCTGCCTGTCTGTCTGCCTGTCTGTCTGACTGTCTGCCTGTCTGCCTGTCTGTCTGTCTGTCTGTCTGTCTGTCTGTCTGTCTGTCTGTCTGTCTGTCTGTCTGTCTGTCTGTCTGTCTGTCTGTCTCAGTCTGTCTGTCTCAGTCTGTCTGTCTGTGTCTGTCTGTCTGTCTGTCTGTCTGTCTGTCTGTCTGTCTGTCTGTCTGTCTGTCTGTCTGTCTGCCTGCCTTTCTGTCTGTATGTCTGCCTGCCTGCCTTTCTGTCTGTCTGCCTGTCTTTCTGTCTGTCTGCCTGTCTTTCTGTCTGTCTGCCTGCCTTTCTTCCTTCCTGCCTTTCTTTCTTTCTTCCTTCCTGCCTTTCTTTCTTTCTTCCTTCCTGCCTTTCTTTCTTTCTTCCTTTCTGCCTTTCTTTCTTTCTTCTTTCCTGCCTTTCTTTCTTCTTCTTTCTTTTCTTTTTCTTCTTCTTCTTTCTCTTCTTTCCTTTTCTTTCTTTTGTCTTTCTTTCTTTTTCTTTCTTCTTATTCTTTCTTTCTCTTCTTTCTTTTCTTTCTTTCTTTCTTTTGTTTTCTTTCTTTCTTTCTTCCTTTGTCTTCCTTCCATTCTCTCTTCCTTCCTTTCTTTCTTTCTTTTTTCCTTTCTTTTTCTCTTTCTTTCTTTCTTTCTTCTTTCTTTTTCCTTCCTTTCTTCTTCTTTCTTTCTTTCTGTCCTTCTTCGTTCGGTTTCCTTTCTTCCTTATCTTCCTTGTCTTCCTTCCTTCCTTCCTTCCTTCCTTCCTTCCTGTATGTCTGTCCTTCCTTCCTTCCTTCCTGTCTTCCTTGTCTTCCTTCCTTCCTTCCCTTCCTTCCTCCTCCTTCCTTCCTCCCTTCCTTCCTTTCTTACTTCCTTCCTTCCTTCCTTCCTTAACTTCCGTTCGTCCTTTATTCCTTCCTTTCTTCTGTCTTTGTTGTTCTGTTTGTTTTGTTTGTTCTGTTTGTCTGTTTTGTTTGTTTGTTTGTTTGTTTGTCTGTCTGTTCTGTTTGTTTGTTTGTTTCTGTTTGTTTGTCTGTCTGTCTTTCTTTCTTTCTCTTTCTTTCTTTCTTTTGTTCTTTCTTTCTTTGTCTTTCTTTCTTTATTTCTTCTTCTTTTTCTTCTTCTACTTCTTTTTTTTTCTTCTTCTACTTCTTTTTTTTTCAGACTGTTCATTACCTCTGTGTCTGTGTGCATTGATGTCATGTATTCCAATGAAAGCAAGCTCTTTGTGTGTATTGCTGTTATGCGTTCCAATCGAAGTATTCCTTTTGTCTGTGTGTATTGCTGTTATGCGTTCCAATCGAAGTATTCCTTTTGTCTGTGTGTATTGCTGTTATGCGTTCCAATGAAAGCAGGCTCTTTGTCTGTCTGTTTTGCTGTTTTGTGTTCTGAAATAATCAGACTGTTTGTTTGTATTGCTGTTAATGCGTTCCAAAGGAAGCAGGCTCTTTGTCTGTGTGTGTATTGCTGTCATGTGTTCTGAAGGAATCAGACTCTTAGTCTGTCTGTATTGCTGTTATACGTTCCGAAGGAAGCCGGGGGGGGGGGGGGGGGGGGTCATTTTACAAAGGTCATGAAAAATAATGTTTGGATAGTTTATTTTTAAAAACAAAACATGGTTCTATTGACGTTTTCCTGCCCATCTACACACTTTCTCAGTCTGGTTTATATCACAGGGGGTTCCCTTGTACTGTTTTCTTCGAAAAAAAGTCTATGTGGGGCCTAGGCTCAGGCTGTGGGTAAGGGGGTAAAGGGGGTTGGGGGTAGCATGTTCTAGATGTTCTGGGGTCGTTAACAGCTGTGTCGTCGTGTATTATAGAACACGCGACACTGGCGCTGATGTAATTGGAGGCTAGACAACGTGACACCCCTCTGACGAAGGCTTGGGCGTTGCTAACGTGCTTCGTAATGCCGTGGGGCTGGGTTCGATCCCAGCCCCGAGCCTTGCGTTGGTTTCGACAGTGGTATTGAAAAGCCCCAGAAAGCAGTGGCAAACTACTGGACATAAATTTGTCTAGAAAAACCACAACAGCCCAAAAATAAATACTGGGGTTGTTTTTGCAACGTCCTGTAAATGTTGTGCAGGTAACTAACTATTGTGACAAATGAGTCTGTTGCTGTTCAACTAGCTGCGTAGAAAGACTTTCCCATGATCTGTGGACAATGACGCTAAAACAAACATTTAGGGGAGGGGTCGCTCATTTAGACTCCTTACACAATCTAAGGAGGCCTCAAGGGGGTGCCGAAGCCATGTTTTAGTGCATAGTAATAAAAAATAATTAGCCTACCACAGGATTAAAGATGAGAGAAGACGAGATAAATTTGGGTGAAGGGGGAGGGGGATCACAGACCACCGTTATAATCAGTAACTGCTAAAGTAAAGGACCTTTGTCCACGCCACCATGTGTATTGAGTATTTAGGTTGACCTATATTTTAAAGACCAATAGACACCAGGTGCGTGATGTGGTCAATATCGCACCGGCCGCCTTTACTTCCTAGGGCTTTACCTGGTACCCTTTTTTGGTTGCAGTAAAAGCCTAGAATGAAAGAATTCATCGCTGATCGAGTAGTGAGGTGACAGGATTCTGTTTCTGTTGGTGGAACAACTAAATTCATAAAATTGAACAGTTTGTGGCAACAGCACTAGCCACATGACCTTCAGGCTCCAGACCCCCAGGTATTTAAAAAAAACTGCGCCGTCTTCGCAATGTATGTCAGCTAGAATATTTCCACTGCCAATTGTGAGTACAGTAATACCTCGGGTTATGAACTTAATCCCTTTTTAACACCGATCTGGGACCGAAATATTCGTAATAAACAGTCTTTGTCTTTGAAATCAATGAAATCCAATGAATTCATTCGCGCGTTCCTGAACAAATTTTTTTCGACTTTTTTAAAAATTGATTTATACGTGGCAAAATAGATAGTATCAAATAAACAGTATAACTTTACACTGGTGGTTGATAGCTGCTGGCAAATGTTGATGGTAGAGAAGAAGGGACAAGGCTTCTCCTTCGAAGGAGAGTTCCAGTCCATAATGTCGGGCAACTGTTTTTCTGGTATGTTTCTCTTGCTTCAGTCCTTTGAAGTGGTTTCATTGCCGGCTTGGTGGCTAACAATAATTGCTCTACTTCTTCTAACACTGGAGACTTTTGGTTCCCTCACACTTTGTTCTTTGAGAGACCACAGATTGTAAATGCAGCCATGCCGTACAAAAACACCATTCTTATATTTGGTTGTTGTTTCCTACTTTGTGTCTGCTGTAATACGCTTAGGTTTATGTACACCACCGTCTCTAATACTTTCTTGTGAGCCATAATGAGGGTTAATTTGATGCAAAAAGCAACAACAACAACAACAGCTACAAAACGTATTAAGTACAACACAGAGACACAAGTTCACAGCGCGCAACCGAAAACAGCGCCACAGCCACGTTTGTGTCTGCGTTTGTGGCTTAAGCGTTGCGAACGCCGGGTTCGATCCCAGCCGCGGGCCTTGCGATGGTTTCGACAGGGGTATCGAGAATCTGACCGTCCAGAGGCAATGGCAAACTACTAGACGTAAATTTTTCTAGAAAAACCAAAACAGCCAAAAAATGCTGGTGCTGGATCTGCAATGTCATGTAAAGGACACACAACTAACTTTTTTTTTAACAGCCGGGTTTGTGCGTTCGTGGGCTGAAGCATTGTTGGCCGGTCGAGTACAAATTGTTACGGAAATTATGTTCGTGTGCCGATTTTGTTCGTTACTATAAGCGTTCGTAAGCCGAATACCACTTCTAATGCGCGATGGACCTCAGTGTCTCTCACTGTGTCTTCTTCTTAGCTTTCCTCTGTTCTGCCTTCCACGCCCAGTAAAGCATAGGTCCTCAACCAACTCATGCCAGACCGTTCTATTCTTTGCTATTGCATGCAGCTCATTATTTCTATGACCATATGGGTTCCAGTGCAAAGACATTTGCATACACATCTTAATCAACCCCAGCGTTTCAACAGATCTGGCTAAGTTATATGCAGAATGATGGTTCATTGTCTCACGGGCAGATGCACTTCGACTCCGGGTCCTGGTTAATCGACTTGAACGATATGCTTGTTAGGAAGGTGTTCGGTCTGCCCTCCACCCCTCCCCCTCCCCTCCCCCTTCCCCTCTTTGTCCTAAAAGGAGCTCCGGAACCCGCCCGTACACCACTGTCTGAAAGCCACGGGACTAGACTTTTCTAAATCGTCAATGCTGAAATCGAATATTAGTAAACATCGAGTATTGCAATGTGAAACATCTAAGCCAGTGTTTCTAAACCTTTCTAGTGCCGCGACACTTTAATACAGTTCCCCATGTTGTGGTGACCCCCAAACGTAAAATTATTTTTGTTGCTACTTCATAATTTCAGTGAATATTGTTTTTCCGATAGTCTTAGGCAACCCCTGTGGAAGGGTCGCTACCTATAGGTTGAAGAACCGGTGGTCGAAGCCACAGAGCTGTCCAACACCACTGCCCTCAGAATTGTAAACTCAGCCAGTTAAGGCAGTTTATCGATCGTTATTTAACGAACCACCGATCTGTCAGGAAACGAAATCAACAAATTGACCCGGTCGATGCTGAGACCAGGTATCGACTGGTAAGAACTTTGTCATTCGCGACGTCGCCACAGAGCGTCTACGGAAGCTGGTGAACGCCAGAACGGCTGTGTCCTCTGCCTAACTCAGACCCCTGTCTCTACGCACACAGATATACACACAAATGTGAAACCCCTCCAACAACCAAACATTCACACGATAATGTACGTGGATTAAGCTGCCATGTGCTCTTCCATTGTTTTCTGTGTTGAAATTTTATTGTCCGTGGTGATATTCTCTTGGAAGTTTGTGTTGCGGGATAGTTTTATTAGATTATTTCTAAATTTATAAATACTTACCAGGTACAGCACAGAATGGGATTTTGTAAATCCATACAGTTCTATTCTTATTGGTTTATTTATTGTAGTTGTTAAGTTGGTTGATTTTTTTATTTATTTAATTAGCTGGTTGATTTGTTGATGGATTTGTTTGGCTAGGTCATTGAGTTATTGATCTGATTGGCTGTTTGGTTGGTTTATTGAGTAGCTGGCCTGCTGGCTGATTGATCGGTTCGTTGAGTGGTTATTTAGTTCAATGATTGATCGGTTTGTTGATTGGTTATTTAGCTCAAGGATTGATCGGTTCGTTAATTGGTTATTTAGCTCAATGATTGATCGGTTCGTTGATTGGTTATTTAGCTCAATGATTGATCGGTTCGTTGATTGGTTATTTAGCTCAATGATTCATGGGTTCGTTGATTGGTTATTTAGCTCAATGATTGATCGGTTAATCGTCTAGTTGCAGTGTTATTCTAATCTAAACGGCTTGCAAATATAGGAACAGATTACTTGAGAGACTTTTCTTGTAACTCATATCAAAATATCTATGGGAATTGTACTGCAGTGTTTTATTTTCCCTTTCCAAGTTCAGACCCTAATCGGAGTGTGCAGTATTGGCACGCGAGACAGCAATACCGCCCGAGAGTTGCAGCAGGCACGCTTGATCAGGGGTGGAACCTTGGCGAAGTACCTTGGCTCTCCTCAGACAGTTGGATGGGAATGGGCAATGGGAGGTGCTGAGGTACCTGAGCCCAAAGTTTATGATGCGTTCGATCATATCTACGACAATTTACAGAAGTTGTAGATAACTTTAATACATCACATGCGAAATAGATGTGTTACCTAACTTGACGTAATTAAGTAAATTTTACCCCACCAGGACATCACATAGAGGGATAAACACCCGGTGACACAAAGTGCCACGATGCGGTTGAGGATCACCCGTGGAGAGATCCCAGAAACCACGTTCAACCGTCAGGCTATATTGCGGGGTCTGGCGAAAGCCATAGTGGGGTTTCAAAATAATGGATGATTTGATAAACCTGCAAAAGTAAAAAAAATAAAAAAATAATAACTAGCAACATACCTCATAAAACTAACCTCATAAAACAGTAACTAGTATGTCTCAAATCCTTTATATCAGCGACTACCTTCTTGTATCACCAGCTCTACAGCATTACCTATGCCGTCTACTGGGTTTGTTGTCAACGTGTGTGGTTGGCTTAATTACGTTGTAGATCCTGTCTGCTCATGTTCATTCATTGAGAAATGTGCTTTCTTTTCACTGATAAGCTCCCTTTTCAAACAGACGTGAAAGCAAGCAAGGACAACTTGCCGCATTCAGGGGAAGGTTTATTTCTACGGCTATTGAGTGTCGTTTTCTGCAGATGACAGCGACGAGGTTGATCTTAGGAGTACCTCGCTTTTGTTTTTCAAAAAGTTAAGTTTCACACAGACAGAAAATGGTAATCAGTCACCTGGATGTACTTTATACTGAGATATTTCTGCGTTAAACATACGACAATATAATTTCTCAATCATCATTAAGGGGGTTGTGTCGTCTGCCCGGCGACAACAGGCGACATTCGTCGTCTGCAATTGGAAGTAGCGGGTAAGTCTGTGGTTCGATGAAAAATTAAATTGTGACCTGGGTGTAGTAGATTGTGACTGGAGAAGTGTGTAACCTGTGACGAAGGGTAGCAGTCTCATAGTGCAGATATAGACTGTGTCTAGGTGTAGCAGTCTCATAGATATAGATTGTGTCTAGGTTTAGCAGTCTCAGAATGGAGATGTAGACTTGTGTCTAGGTTTAGCAGTCTCAGATTAGAGATGTAGACTTGTGTCTAGGTTTAGCAGTCTCAGATTGGAGATGTAGACTTGTGTCTAGGTTTAGCAGTCTCAGATTGGAGATGTAGACTTGTGTCTAGGTTTAGCAGTCTCAGATTGGAGATGTAGACTTGTGTCTAGGGAAAGCAGTGCCATACTGGAGATATCGATTGTATCTAGGCCTAACAGTCTCAATTGAAGCTATAGATTGTGTCTAGGTTGACCAGTTTCATGCTGGAGATATAGCCTGTAACTAGAGGGAGTAGTCTCCTACTGGAGATATAGCCTGTGACTAGAGGGAGTAGTCTCCTACTGGAGATATAGCCTGTGACTAGAGGGAGTAGTCTCATACTGGAGATATAGCCTATGACTAGAGGGAGTGGTCTCATACTGGAGATATAGCCTGTGACTAGAGGGAGTGGTCTCATACTGGAGATATAGCCTGTGACTAGAGGGAGTGGTCTCATACTGGAGATATAGAATTTTTTTTTTAGAGGGAGTGGTCACTATATACTCGATTATTCGGTGACCTTTGGAATTCGTGGTTCATACCACCTTATAGTGTATGACTTGAGATTAGAAAAATACTGTAGCTTCACTTTTTTAACGTGAACTCGATTTTCGGTCCCTTGGAATTCGTGTTAACCAACAAAAGGTATGTTTGTGATAGCATTTAGTAGGTTTGTGACCACAGTTAGTGGTGTTGTGACTACAAAGTGAAATTTTTAATGGCTCCACTAGGATAGTCACTGGAGCTACATAGTTCATGATTTGTGTGACGCTCTCAAAGAGGGCTAGCCGTTCTGGGGAATCAGACCAATCCATCTGGAATAACCCGGGACAATGAAGTCCATCCCCTAACTATAACCGTCTTAAGAGAAGTAAAGATTGCGACGAAAAGTAATTGTCCGTCTCAACCAGTTGCTTGTTGTATGCGGCTGGATGTAGCAGTTTTATCTTTGATGTTAGAAGTAGTCAGTCATTGTGACATGAAGTAATTGGCTATCCGTTTCAATCAGTTGCTAGTCGTATGCGGCTGAATGTAGCAGTTTATTTTTGATGTAAGAAGTAGTCAGTCATTGCGACATGAAGTAATAATTGGCTGTGCCGAGATTACTAAATAATTCATGATCAAAGACAGAAATCTGTAGGTCATCTCTAATTACAACAGGAAAATATCTATTTCTACAGAAGTAGACTTTCGTTATTGACTAAATAAAGGTAGACATTCTGGACTATCTGGGAGTAGATCGTGTATACCAGGGAGGAGTCAGTCGTCTTGTGATTAAGTCAGTAGAGTGGCAGAATTGTGGGCACAAAAATGAATGTCGCCGAGGACCTGATATGGAGACGCTACAACGGATGGGAGGTAAAGGTGGTCCACATATTCGTTGTTTTTTTTCTGGTTGTCTTATCCTCTGTTATCTTCAACAGTTCTTGCTTTCGTGGAGTAAAAGTTACAGCATACAGGCCCCTCAGACTGTGTTTTCTGACCTTCCACATATGATCTTATCATGACATCTCTTTGTATGTCAATATTGCCCCTCTTAGTGTGAATGTTGCATTTCTTTATAACATCCCTCAATAAATTGATGTTGCAATAATCAGTTGCTCAATTTTTTTTTGAGTGGGTTAAGTGAAGAGGCAAAGACTTTTCCACGCGTGTACATTTGTGTGTGTGTGTGGGTCAAGTCTCTGCTCGAGTGGGGATAAAATGCAACTGCAGCGGCTGAAGAAGAAGCAGAAGAAGAAGAAGAAGAAGAAGAAGAAGAAGAAGAAGAAGAAGAAGAAGAAGAAGAAGAAGAAGAAGAAAATGGGGGCAAACATGTAAGCAGAGAAGGAGGAGGAGAGGGATGAGGAAGAACTAGAAAGAAAAAAGATGGGAGGCAAACCATATTGCTATTGCACCTTATGGTGACAAATGTCTCCTTTTTTTAAAAGTCGATAATCAGATTGTACATACTTTACTGAGTTTCCACAGGCATCTTTTTTGAATTTATTCATGTCTGAAACATTGACGGAGACGAAGACTTGGATTTAATGAAGAAGAACTGGCAACTAAAATGTTAGCTGATACAGGTGTCGCCTAAGAGACGTAGCTAGCTTGCTGATCTCTGACGCTTTACTGGATGTAGCTAAATGGCTCTTCATTGTTTGTAACCACCAAAGGTTTTCCCCGCAAGGTGAAACTACCTATAGTACAATTATGATATTACTGTTTTATTACCAGACAAAGGTCTCTCTCTCTCTCTCTTATCTCTCTCTCTCTCTCTCTCTCTCTCTCTCTCTCTCTCTCTCTCTCTCTCGTCTCTCTCTCTCTTCTCTCTTCCCCCCTCCCCCCCTCCCCCAAAAGTAGTTGTCACTTTGTTGCAACACATGGTTAAATTAGTAATTTGCAGAAGAAGAAGATCATGGTGTGGAAACTGCATCCACTGACTCAAGATTTCCTATACATATTATCACAGTATAGCTACTATTTAGCTTTTTTTCCCGTCCTTTTTAGGATGGAATTTTCGTTATTTAAAGCCCTTCTTTTATTTTTCCAGGGCCGCAATATAGCCTGACCATAAATATGGCCTAAAGGCTCAAACAGAGACGCGTTTTGTCTGAAGACATCTCCACTGTGATCCTCACCCACATGGTGGGACATTGTGTCATCGGTCTGTGTTTATCGCTTGTGTGATGTTCTGTTGGGGGTAAAGAAGTCAGTCAGTCATTCTTTATATATATTATTATATATATAATATATATATATATATAAATAAATATATATATTTATATATAAGAAGATTAGATATATAATAATATAATGAATTGTTGCTGCCACTATGCAGTTCGTGATTTGTGTCGGGATTCCCCGTGTATAATGTTCAGCTCGTAAAGAGAACTAATTACCTGATCGGAAGGACGCAGTCGACATTCTTTGGGCAAACCATGATAGAGGGACAACTGGAGATCACCGTGACAATGAACGGAAGAGACAGGAGACTAGATAAGTGGTTGTTGGGCAGTTTGGTGTCACATGACTGAAGAAGGGGACATTTATGTCAGAAGATGCCAGCAATCTACGAGACTGAAGCCGTGTGCAGACTTGATTCAAAGAACCTTTGCCGCGCCTTGAGACGTATTGGGCATATAGGACTGGACATATATTGTATAGAACAACTGGCACTCTTTGGGTGACTCGGTCAACATGACGCCTGACGCCTTTACTTCCTAGGACTTTACCTGATACCCATTTAAGGCTATGTCGACCTGGGGGCTAGGGTCAATTTGGAAAGAAATAGTCAAACTCTGTTTGGATTTAAACCGAAGACTTGTGAATCAACAGGCTAGCGTCCAGTCGCAACACCACAGTGACCCCCAACGAAACACATCTGTACAAATAAAATCGCAGAAAGAGATTACAACACTTAAGAGGGCATCTGTTCGCGGCACTAGTGATTTTGCAGTGTCCCTTTGATCCCATAGAGCCTTTTTACCACATCCGCTTCATCATATAGTAGCTCACCGCCTAGAGAAGCGGCAGCAGCTAATCTATCCGCTTGCTCGTTACCTCGCACACTTAAATTTCCTAGACAGAAAATCAACTATGTGTTCTCTCCTAATCTGGGTCTAAATAACTTAAATAACCATCTGTTACGCTAGTGGTGCACTGCGCATATCATGCTTGACATTTGATAGAGACATCAACACTCGATGGGTTTGTGCCGAAAGAATCTCTGACCGCCTTTACCTCTAAGAATATCACTTAGTGCCCAGTTTAGGCTGGTTCCATCTAGAAGTCATTAGCAGTTTTGAAAGAAAAATGTCCGGCTGCAGACTGGAACTGTGAGAGTCTATTCACTGTTGCTGAACCTTGCGCATCACATGATAATGATTTAAAAGTTCAAGGTTAAAGTTGAGAGAATCGACTTCATAGCCCTGGGATCTACCCCATATAGCTGACTTTGTCTCCGCAGAGCGGCTAGTCGCTCACCGAGAGCGTTGCATATAACACAAATAGTAGGGATGGTAGTGAAGTTTTATTTTTTGTGTTTTTACTTACGAAATTGTAACAGCTAGATGAAAATTAAAAATTACAAAACAATCAATGGTACCTCATTTTAAGCCTGTAAGTCGATTCTAAAGCGGAGATATTAACATTTTTTAGTGGCGGACACCCACGACAGAAAAATTGTAGTGGAAATCCATGAAACATGGTTTCCGGCTGCGACCCCAGTGAGATGAAATGACTCATGTTTTGCATTTTATTACGGCCATAAACTTTTTTTTGTTTTTGAACGAATCCCTTAGCAACCATAATATTGCCTAGAATCGGGACAGTGAGACCTAACCGTTTATACATGTTCTCAATTACATACACTACGATATGCGCCTATTTAACATAGGAAAAATGTCTGGCAGGCTGATTTATTTTTCATCTAAAAAACTTTATACATATTACAGTTGTCTGCCAGCGAGCCTGGTTTAAAACATATTCATATATTGTGTGTCCTGGTGCAAGGCGAACATAAAGATCAGATAAAATGTGCCAATGTCAGTTGTTGACGTGACCTAATTAACAAATACCGGAAAAACCCCTCCCCACACCACCCCCCCCCCCATCTTTGCAACAGCGATGTCCACCGGGGGTGGTCTATCTCCGCACCAGTAATGACACCTGGGGTGGTTGTCCCCCCCCCATCCCCCCCCCCCACAGTGATGATTACCCGGGTATGGCCGCAGATTCCTGCTACCTTCTTTCCCTGGTATCTCTCCTCTTCTTTTCTTTCTTTTTCCTTTCCTTTCTTTTTTCCCTATAGTCTCTGTCAAGTGTCCGACTTTATGTCTTAGTCCCCTTCTTTTTTTTTTTAAAAAATTCCTCTCTCTCCTCCTCCTGC